GAAAAACCAATCTTCCGCGATCTCTTTTCGTTCTTCATGTCAGTTCGTACCACACAGTGGCACACACGTAGATACCTTTTGTGATAGTGATATTCGCCCCCTTCCTTCCCTGTTTCCTGAGTTTTCCGACGACTTCTCTTAGTTTTTGCGTGTTCTTCATTCAGGTGAGGAACCATTCGCGCAAGCCCCGTCGCAATCCGTTCCTAAATTTTTCTAACCGACCCATCGGACAAATTTTGCTTGATTGCTGCAGGAATGGCCACTCACTTGCAAGCCCTGACACTTCTCTGTCGTGTCGGTGGTGTGCGCTTGACTAAATGTAAGCAAACTACACTGTATAGTGTCCGCGAAAATGCGGACGGTCTAAAAAAAGCGTTTGGGATAGACGTCAGCCAAGACAAGCCTGATATCCACCCCACACGCTTCTGCAGTACGTGCAACAAAACTGTCAACAGGGCACTATCCAGTGACAAATACAATCGTTGTGGTGGAGGATGTGCATCCCCTGTGGAGTGGTTACCCCATGATGCTGAGAGTCAGTGTAAGACATGTTCAAGAGTGGAGAAAATCAAAATTGGTGGACGACCCGCAAAGAAAAAACGCACAACTGTACCCCCTGTACGTTCCCAACCAGACACACAATGTACCAGTTCCACACAACCCACGCAGTCATCACAGATTTCTCCAGCTGCATCTGGTATACAGTCCAACACAAGCAGTACAAGCAGCACAATGGTACCAACGCCTGCTGAGAAGCAGCTCCGCCCTGCAAGTATTTCCGCAACAAACGAGTCGCTACAAGGGCAAGATATCGCCAAGTCAGAGTTAATAAGCAGAGCTACACCAAGTTACAAAACAGAGAGAGAACTAAGCCCAGACAGATTTATCATGAATTTCTCTGAGCTGATCTGTAGCATCTGCAAACACATTCTGGACAAATCTGTGCAGGCAAGCTGTTGCGGAAAGAATTTTTGTGTAGATTGCATATGGCATTGGCTGGTCATGCATGCTTCGTGTCCAGTATGCCGCAGTCCACTCCAAGCATCACAGTTGCTGACTCCTAGCCTGACGCTGAAGAACTGTTTAGCCGAAGTGCTTGTCCGTTGTGACAATTATCTTGACTCTTTCAATGGTTGTAGTGTGCATATACCACTAGCCAGTCTTCAGCACCATGGCCAGACATGCACCAATACAGGCAAGCACACCATCACACCTACAACTCCCGTTGGTGACATTCTTCATGCATCACCAAAGAAGTTGCAGGGCAATGTTGCCGAAAAGTTGACAAGCCACCTGGTGCGATCGAAGTCAGACAATGGACTACTTCATCTCAGAAGCCAGGGTCCCTCCCAGATTTGGAAGAAAACGACAGTTGGAACAGTTTCATCTGACGAAGCATCAGAGCGGACACAGCGTCGCAGATCCCTAGAGTTACGCCAAACCGAGCAGCTCGTTTGCGGCAGCAGTGCTAGCAGTATTCAAGCGCAGCAAGCTGCCACTATTCGTCGCATGCCAGAAGAGGAGCGGAGGGCATTGCTGATTGCAGCAGGTGTGTTGCCAAGATCAATAGAAAAAGGCAGCACACTAGCCATGAAGGCTGATCTTCACATGCCCTGGTTTCAGCTCAGGAAGCTCAAGGTCTGGCTGAAGGATTACGGCTTGCATCTTGAGTCTGAAGGTACTATGCGGCAGCAGCTGAATGAACACCTAAAGGTCAACATAGTTGCAGAGGATGTGCCATTTGTGATTGGCAAGACCGCCGAAATAGAGATGAGGCCAATGGTGGCGCTACCTGATCTCGTTGGAACTGTGCACGGCTATCTGGACCAGCTGGACAGCACTGAGCAATTGTTCTGGCATGCTGGTGTCATACCAGAGGACCAGATATGGGTCAAAGTGGGTGGCGACCATGGCGGTGATTCGTTTAAAATGTCTGTGCAAGTTTGCAATGTACGCCATCCTAATTCCATACGGAATATCATTCCATTTGTCGTCTTTGCCGCGAAGGACTCGCCAGCAAACCTTGCCACTGCTCTCCAGCCATTTGCGTCGCAAATCAATCTCCTCAGCAGCACTCTGTGGCATGGAAGATCCGTGAGAGTTCTACTGTTTGGCGACTATGAGTTTCAAACTCAGCAGTATGGACTCTCCGGATCAAGTGCAGTGCATCCTTGCCTTCACTGCGAGGCCACAAAGACCGAGTTCCAACAGCCTGGTGCCACGTCCAACTGTCGGTCACTAGCTTCACTTGAGACATGCCACTCAGCGTTTGTTGCAGCGGGAGCTCGTCTGCCCGATGCCAAAAGATTTAAGAACTGCATCCGTCCCGTCATTCTGCCCATACCCATTGAAGATGCAATCATCCCAGTCCTCCACCTTGACTTGGGCATCTTCAAGTGGATTTTTGAGGCGCTGGTGAAGGACTGTCAGACACTGGACATGTCCCTGGCTGCATCTGGGCCTGCCACACCTGCTGACAGCCAGCAGTTCTCGACCATTGTGGCCAAACACCAAAAGTTGCGGGAGAAGCAGGATGAGCTGATTGCTGTTAACGCCTCTGCCCAGCAGTTGAGGAATCAGCTTGATTGGCTGGCATTGCACAGCAACACGCTACTCCCAGCGCAGATCCAGGCAGCAGCTGGGGTGATCCAAGTCCAGTGTGCCCAGCAGGCAGCATCCAGGTCATCTCTGGAGGAGGAGACTAGCAGTCTTGTCGAGGAGATCCAGCGGATCACGGGCACCATCAGTGGCCCATGCGAGCAGTCCCTAGACAAGGTATTGCAGCGCAACAACATCTGTCGCCAACGGTACCATGGAGGAAGCTTCATCGGCAACCATGTTCACCACGCTTTGCAGAGCACCGTCATTGAGCAATTGGCTTCAGCACCGCTGGCAGTCATACAAGAGGACGGACGCACCGCCTCTGCCAGTGTTCTGTCGGATGCCACTGATGTTTGCAGCCGATACATGGCTCTTATGGAGCAGTTCGCTGCATGCAGGCGACGTTACTCGTCTTGCAAGAAGATGACACCTGAAGATTTGGCGGCCTTCAAATCCGACGTCAGGACGTTCATGGGCACTGCTCGTGCTGAAATTGTGAGACGAAAGCTTGGCCACATTACGCCGAAGCTACACCTCCTGGAGGCACATGTACCAGCCTCAATGGATACGTTCGGCGTTGGTCTCGGACTCCTTGCTGAGCAAGGAGGTGAAAGCATCCATGCGGAATTCAACTCTCTGGAAAAGCGTCACGGCGGGATCGTCAACAACTTGGAGCGCCTGAAAGTCACAGTCAGGCAGCACCTCTCATCTACGCTACCGCATTTAGCTTCTCTGCTCCCAGAACGATCTACTCGAAAGCGAAGACGCAAGGAGTGAGAGAGTAAGAGATAACTGCATACTTTTTTGAAGTAGTATTTTCAAACAAAAGGTTTCGAAAGGCATTTCCGTTTTCTGATTTTTGCTTTGCTTTTGCATTGCATGCGTGCACGCGTGGGTACGTCATACTCGATTGTTATGCCAACCGCGCTGCAGCGTGCACGTGACGAAATGGCGGCCATCTTACTCAGTGGCCAGCCCGTAACAGCAGTGCTCCATACGATTTCTCGGCACGAGAATCCGTGTGGACTGGCTTTCATACGAACCATGTTTCGTATGGAGATTTTGCGTCATCGGGTGCAGAAAGATTTTTCGCGTACAAATTTGGTACGAGAAACATCGATTTTTCGCGGGAAGTTTTGATTTCGGTACAAATTTTCAAAATAAAAAGGCATAGCGCGGGAATGTGACGTGTTTGCGATCGTAACCTAGACAATGACGGCAAACACATAAGTTCCGTACCCCGGAACTTTTCACTGCTCGAAAACGACGTATAAAAAATCCGTAGAGCCTCCACGGATTTTGGCACGAAAAATCGTACTCCGGAACCTCCCTAATGTAAACCAGACGACAGACGTACATGACTGTATCAACGTGAGTGAGTTGTCATTTTTCCTGCTTTCGCGCGGAATATTTCTTCGAGTTCACACAGTGAGTTTTCCCAGGCAGCGCTCGAGTGCTCAGAGTCAGAGTCATACGGTAAGACGCCAAACTCCGCGGGCGATCGCCAGGATTGCAAATCTTTTTGAAACGGACTGTAGAGATAAACCAAACAATGAAAATAAGGTTTGGCACCACGTTACCAAGTTTTGAGTTTTGGACAGAAAAAGAGTGGCAGGTGGCCGACTTTCCTAAGGGAAACCAGCAAAAAAAAAAAAAAAAAAGGTCAGATCGCGTCAGAGTGCAAGGATCGGATTCGAGTCCACAGGGTCTTGGATACAATCCGAAACCTGCGGAACTCCTCCCGGTCCAGAGTATGAAGCAAATTTCGAAGTACACTCTCAACTTAGCCGACCAATGTTTCCATGATGTCTATTGACTTTTGTTCAATAATATGTCCCTGTTTTGTTAATGTACGACCTCGCATCCGTTTGACTTCGACAAGTCCCTTGTGGAGAGGGAAACCAAATCCAATCTTGAGACAATAATTACGGTTCACCATAGTAGTCAGAGCATGGAAAGGTTAGACTGGAGAGGGAGAGAGGGGGGGGGGGGGGGTGGTTGGGGGTGATAGAGAGATGGAAGAGGGAGAGGTGGAGGTGGAGGTAGAGATGAAAGAGATAGGGAGGGGCACTAGCCACAGATTACCCCACGTCTGGTTAGTATTGTGTCCTGTTGTCGGAGTTATTTTGTTTGTCAGTATCGAGCCAGGTGGGCATACTTCTTGAGTTGTTTGTTCACTCCTCAAGAAGCCATCTTATCAATTCGTTTATTTGTATGTCTTTGTTCTTGCAGTTGTCAGCAACACTGAACTATTCACAGGCCTTTGTGTGAACTGACACTGCCGAGTGTCGGTCAGTGGTGCTGAGAACTGCGATAGTATTCCAATGAGTTAAAGCTGCTAGAAGCATTTTCTATTCCCTCAACCTACACTGTATGAATGTTCTTTGTTCTTGTTTCAGAATTCCACGTATGGCTTTGAGAATGGTGCCATGTACACCATCATGCTTCGTCCTCCACCGGATGGTGATGTCTTGGTGGGTGGTAGACACGATGAGTGCTGCTGCTGCTGCTGCTTCTCTCTGAGCTGGCTGATGGTTGCGTTGCCATGTGAAGTCTTCTTTTTCAGTCAAACACTAAATGCAGCTACAGTGCCAGTGCCAGTGCCAGTGTTCTGTGTGAAGTACAGGCCTGGCCAGAGAAATCCAATCTCATGAATAAAGTAGCCCCGCGCTCAAGTGAGCAGAGTGGTCTGGTGTGTGTGATGCTAGGGCCGTGTAGCCCTCGGCGCTATTGCATTCATGAGGTCGGATTTCTCCAGCCAGGACTGTAGTATATGGGACCATGCAAACTTGTACTCTTTCAAGTACTGTGCATCCGCAAATCCAAGACCCTGTCTTATTTTTCTTCAAGGCAGTTTGAGAGTGCTCAAATCCGGGCCTGGTTCACTGTTTTGGCGATGTGTTTTTTAACTTTTTTTTTAACTCAAATCCTGTGTGGCTTGTTTTGTCTGTGCGATTACTTGTGTGTTTGTGTTGTGCTCATCAGCCCAGCGTTGCCCCGCTGGTGAACGTGGACCCGGCCAGTGTGCACATCCTCTGGCAGGTACCGCAGTACGCTGTGCTGACAGCCGGTGAGATCATGTTCTCCATCACTGGTCTCGAGTTCGCCTACTCACAGGTAAGGATCGGTTTAGAAAGGACGCACATCATGTGTACACGCTTAGGCAAGGAACTATGGATACTATCCGGCATCAGCTAGCCAAGACTTGACAATCCTGAAGAAATACGGAGAATTAGAGAAGCAGTGGTTTTGAACATTCACTGTGGATTGAATTCGGAAGCGTGCAGTGCCATTAGTGCACAGTCATGTTGGTCGCATGCGTACTCACGGCTGCATAGCCAGCACGCTGGAGTCGCTTGACCTCCGGCTGGATTTCCATGTCCACGACAGTCTGGGGTCATCTGTTTGTTCCTCCTCCCCCCCCCCCCCCCTTCTTCGCATTCATACTCTAGTCTGCAAATCTCTACCTGAAAGGACTTGTAGTGATGTGTAGCACGCTTGGGCAGACCGGGTTATCTGCGATGCCGCATGTGATCCTGGAGTAGACACTACTCCCTGCATGACTGTGTTGGTGTCTGCCATTGCTAAAAGCCGCACCTGTACTGGTCATACAGTCTGCACTGCATCCTCTTACAGTGAAACATCGGTGTCAGTACCCTCAATACTAGTATTGTACAATGGAACATTAATACTATTTTGAGGACCCTGCATTATACCATACATGTAGCAGTTATTTGACCTTAGAAACACAGTACCTTGTCCACAAAGTACTGACTCTTGTGACTCTTTTTCTGAAGTTTCACTGTACATTCCTCTGTGTACTGCGTGGCATTAACGGTATCGTTGCATACATGTGTGTGTGTGTTTACAGGCACCAAAGAGTATGAAGTCAGTCATGCAGGCCGTCTGGCTGTTGACTGTCGCCTTTGGCAACCTGGTGGTGGTCATCGTTGCCGAAGCCGAGATATTTCACAATCAGGTACGCGAGTTGACTTGCCTGCCACCGGCATCAAGTTTATGCCAGCATATCGACACACACACACACGCACACAAACACACACACACACACACACACACACACACACACACACACCATGTACCATGTATACGCCCGTCACAAGAGAAGCACACCAATCTGCAAATGCACTGGATGTGCACCCACAGATTTTCTCTTTATAGCAACGATAGCGGATCTGATTCTGATTGAAACAGATCAAGACAAGCGCCAGGTAACTGTCTAATCCACACAACTGGCGAAGCCACACACACACACACACACACACACACACACACACACACACACACACACACACACACACACACACACACACACACACACACACACACACACACACACACACATACACACACACACACACACACACACACACACACACACACACACACACCTGTACACACACACACACACACACACACACACACACACACACACACACACACACACACACACACCTGTACACACACACACCTGTACACACACACATGCACACACACACCTGTACACACACACACTTATTATGTAGAGTTTTGCGTGTTCTCGTCTCACTGGATTGCAACTGGAGCGCTAATAAAAGGTAGATTGACTTATGGCATATGGAATATGGATTTCGCTTTTTTTTATGTGCCTCAGATCCACGAGTTCTTCTTCTTTGCCGGAATGACAGTTGTCGTGACCATCATCTTCATCCTGATGTCCATTCGCTATACGTATGTCGAGCGACAAGACGGCTCGGAGGGCCCGAGTACTGAGCGTGCAGAGCGTTACACTCTGCTCGATGAAGACAAGGCTTCACAGTCATCCTAGAGCGTGGGGTGGGGTACACAAGGCCTCACAGTCATCCTAGTGCGTGGGGTACACACCACCACCAAATCGCCTGCTACCCGGGCACTCGTACGTTGTGCATGTGTGCAATAACGCGCCGTGCACCTCGTGTCCAATCAATATTGCGAGCAGCAGCCACACTACATATTTATCTATTGTATGGCTGGCCTGCAATGCATGTGTGTGTGCGTGCGTGCCTGGCTGCATAACAATGCTTTTCCAATGCACCTTGTATGTCCTGAGGTGTCGTCCTTTGATGCTTTTCATTGCATTTCTTTCTTTTTTGACTTTGAATCGATTTCATATTGTTTTTTTCCCCCAAGGCACACTGTGCTTTGGCTCAACAAAACAAATCATTCATGCAGGGCAGTCAGCCATGTTGTGGGGAATAGAAGGAAACCAAGACCACATTACTAGTTCAGCTGCACTGTTGTAGATGCCGCCTTGTACGACTACTGCTTTAGTAATTTTATGACATGAGCAGATCTTTTTTATCGGCGTCGTTATATATTTTCATTTTTATGCTGTCTTACCGGTTTTGTCTGATCTTGGCTAGCATTCTTGCATGTCAACATTCTCTGCCGTGACTCCCTGCGGTGCCGCCATGCAAGGCACTGCTCGGTGTACCCCCTTAGTGAGCAGTCTCATTATATAATAAGAAGCCTGTTTGAATACAAGCCTGATTTCCAAGATGCACCGTCAGCACATAAATAAGCCTTTTAGTGTTGACGTGCATGGTTTGAATACAAGCCCTCTTTGAGTAGAACTTGTCTGTAGAAGCCTAGCACTGGCATCGGCTTCCACAAGGCCCCCCAGGTTTTCTAGCCAACATTGCGGTATACATGTACTTCGGATTCGGAGTAGGAACCAACTGGGAGTGTGCAAGAGCTTTCTTCCTTGAACAGCAACATGGAGCTGTCCCAAAATAAAAACACAAACAGTATGACTACACGCTCCACATGGTGGCAACATGCAGAAACTAAGCACATCTGAAAGGTATAAACTGAGCAAAAAAAAGGAAAAAAAGGCCAGTCAGAACACATGATACTACACTTTCTCAAGCAGGACTGACATGTAGAGATCTAAAATCATGATGATGGGTAATGCAAACTAATCTCAACCAGCACCCTGTCAAGTGAGTACAATGTACAAATGCAATGTGGAGAGGAAAATAACAGCAGAAAAAAACACAAGAAAGGAGAAAGCCACAGCAACCGGGCTGATATGGCGTTACGAAATATCATACTGTAAGGAACAGAGCATGGACAAGGGTAGCGGCAGCAGCAGCATGACTATAAAAACCGGCGGTCGCAAATGTGTCAGCCAGCTGACACAGAGCAGCATGTACAGGGTGGCCAGGGCAGGGGGTACAGAACACTATGTACAAAGTAGAACAGGGGAACCAGGTAGTGGGCTGGTTTGGATACAGCAATAAAGCGGAGGAGCAGACACAGAGAAATGTGCTCCACTCAATAGCTAGAAGAGCAAGAGTGTCTTCACTTCGCTAGCAGGACGAGGGGAGATAACATCACTCTGGCGACCATAGCTTGAAGGTTCTGTCATACGAAACACTAGCAATGAACTCGCGATCTGTGAAAACACACAGACAGAAAGAATAGAAAGAGAAGATGAATTGAAGCAAAAAAGCGAAGCTGTAAGACGGGATGCTCCAACCTGAAAACATCCTTTTGGGGAAAGAAAAAATGCTGGAACTACCAAAAGATTTGGAGGATATGGGGTTCGAACCCATGGCCTCTCGCATGCAAAGCGAGCGCTCTACCACTGAGCTAAACCCCCATTCACAAGAAATTGCCTAATCAATTTTCATATCAAAGAAAGAAGTCCATGCAGAGCTGTGCTAATGTATCACAACAGAGAAAAGCAGGTTAGAGACACCTGCTTTGCTACCCCCGGCCTATTTCCTTGGGGCAGCACTGCACCTAACATTACATAGACCTACTGGGAGATATGTCAACGGACATGACCCGTCCTGTGTGGCCACCGAGTGTTTTCAATGGTGCTGATGTTGTGCTCGACCAGACCTGCACAAAGGAAAACATAGCTCACATGCGTCAAGAACACAGGGAGGGCCAGAACACCTGGTACAGCTGAGCTGGCCATAATATTATAATAGCCGGACCTTACTTGGAAAAATGTTGACCAACACAGTGCGTGAAAAACAGTTTTTTTGTTTATTTTAAGTACATTGTACTAGTATCCCATTTGGCCAGATCAACCGGTCCCCGTTTATGGGCTCACCACATTGCAGTACAAAGTGAGCGATGACAATGTGCAGAAAAAGGATGGATCAAATCAGGATATCCGTCCCAGGATAAAATTGCATTTACCCCCCGTCGCCGGGAAAGGTACATGTACTACTTGGTACTAGTACAGGCTGCTAGATCACAGTGGACTGGGTACACACACATACACATACACACACACACTGGCATCATGTCCCACGTACCACGCACGCCCGTCGCAAGAGAAGCATGCATGCCCACAATGCACTGGATTTTACACCCACCGATTTCCTCTCCAGTTTCGCACACACACACACACACACGCACGCACGCACACACATAGGGTACGTGCACTGACCTTGATGAAGTTATCATAGGATGAAGTGACAAGGTACCCGCCTTCATTCGCTGCATCGTTGTGAAGCACAACAAAAGACAGATGGTTGGTCAAGCCAGATGAGACCGAAATAACAATAGCCAATCATGACAACAGTGCAAAAGACAAGAGAACTAACGCATTTTCCAGGACATACAGTCGACCAATTGAAGCAACTTACGCTCATAGACTACTCCTGAGACGAGGTTAGTATGTGCTGGAAGGTTAGACACACACTCCTTCTTACGTAGATCCCAGATACTGACAGAGTTGTCTTCGCTGCCAGTGGCAAGCGTGTAACTGCAGCATCATTGTACACGATCCACACGCGCGCGCACGCACACACACACACACAGTGACACACACACACACACGCATCCATATTGCTACAAGAATGTACTACCGTACTGGCAATATATGTTGCCGCGTAACGCGTAACGCAGGGGGGGGGGGGGTGCGGCGTAACGCGCGACCAGGCTAGTGCGACAAATTTTCGTTGCGTTCGTAACGCGCGTCCGGCGGGGTGCGGCGATCTTTTCATTGCAGTTTGCACTGCAAAGGCTGAAAACTGTGAAAGCACGTGTACCGCGTGGCAAAAAAAGGACTGCGGCAATATAGAAACCTGTGTAACGGCTCCTGTGCGACTTTGCATGTAACGCCCTGCGTGCGGTAAACATGTGCCAATGTAACGCTTCATGGCCTCACTGCGACCATATATATTGCCAGTACGGTACTAGTGATAAAGTAAAACAAAACGGGACAATGCTAAGCAGCTGCAAACATATCAAACAACACAACGTACCACTTGTACTTGCTAGGAAATTGCTACTATGGAAGACTCCAATACCAAGCAGGTGTATTTGCTTACCCATTCGGCGAGAAGTCAATGGCCAATACTGATTTGAGGTGCCCATCACAGAGCATAACGCAGCGACCTGTTCTCAAGTCCCACACACGTCCACATGCGTCCATGCCACTGTTAAAAAGAGAAGGAGAGGGAGAAATAAAATTATGGGTTCGGATTGCCCACATGTTCAGTAGACCGGCTCACACTGTAGATCTACAGGACTGAGCACACAGTTCCACACTATCAACACGTGGTATGATATAAAGATGGGCAGGGGAAAGCCGACGATTCTACTCGGAAACTGCTTGAAATACGCAGAACAGCATATTACATGTACAGTGTACAATGGACACTAGGAGAAGGGACAAACGGATTCGAGTTGTGAGTAACTGCACACCACTGAAACTAGATAATACAGTTAGCAAGGGCGACAACTAGGCACTAAACTGACAGAGTGCTGTGACATTCAACGACCTGACACATCTCCCAATGCACAAACTAGATCCAGGAGCCTGGCGTTAGGACAATGAATGTTTCAGTACTCTGTAAGTTCGGTGCCTATCTATCGGTAGCTGTTAGGTATCTGATTTCAGATTGTGAAACTTCCTGTAATAAAGAAGGGGGCACACAATCTACGCAGATACATGTACATTGAAACATGTGCATGTACAGCCGTAGCCAAATAAATCCGACCCGCGAGTCAAACGTAGCACCGCATTTCCATTTTGATGACGTCATACACGGCCCAAAGACGCATCCGAGGGCCGCAGGGGCCACACGAGCCTTGGCGCTGCTTTCGGCTCGCGGACCAGACTTCTTTGGCCACAATTGTAGTTGATAGCCACAGTGCTGGCAAATGATGCAGAGCAGTAACCATGGCACCAGGCCCGGCAATTAAGCATACTGCATGGGTTGATGTACTTGAACTGTAGTAATAGTAACTGTTGTAGATTCTTACCCAGTTGCCACCAAAGAGCCGTCGCACTGGAACGAGACGGAGTAAACTGGAGCGGTGTGGCCTTCCTGCAGGCATACAGGCACAGACAGAGCACACGCAGGTCAGATCTGAATGCCAACACACTAGCACACACACTCTAAAATGTCTAAATCACGTACTAATACACCAGGAAGCTGCAGACACACGCAAACTTCGATTTTTGCAAATAGGCAAAACACATTGACCTAGCACCGTCACGGTCATGATCAGCAGCAAGATTATACTGTAGTACATGTGCCGTAACCGTAGTGATGCGCATATAAGAGCATGTGCCTATACCCGGGCATAAGCGCACCCTCACAAATAAGCGCATGGGCTTATACGTGAACCTAAATGCAGTCCATCCCGCGACAAACAGACACCACAAAAACACCATATTCACATAGTTCAATGTGCATTGCGGTATTGCACTACTTGTATGTGCATAGTTATGCATGGTGCCGGTACACTAGCAACTCAAGCGCATGCGCCTATAATTATGTGAGACGAAACGACCCGCAAAAAATAGCAAATAGCGCACAAACTCACTCATAAGCGCATGGGCCTCTATGTGCGTCACTACGGTATATGTACAAGAACACACCACAGCTACACACTGAGGTATCAAGAACACACCACAGCTATACACTGAGGTATCAAGAACACACCACAGCTACACACTGAGGTATCAAGAACACACCACAGCTACACACTGAGGTATCAAGAACACACCACAGCTACACACTGAGGTATCAAGAACACACCACAGCTACACACTGAGGTATCAAGAACACACCACAGCTATACACTGAGGTATCAAGAACACACCACAGCTACACACTGAGGTATCAAGAACACACCACAGCTACACACTGAGGTATCAAGAACACACCACAGCTACACACTGAGGTATCAAGAACACACCACAGCTACACACTGAGGTATCAAGAACACACCACAGCTACACACTGAGGTATCAAGAACACACCACAGCTACACACTGAGGTATCAAGAACACACCACAGCTACACACTGAGGTATCAAGAACACACCACAGCTACACACTGAGGTATCAAGAACACACCACAGCTACACACTGAGGTATCAAGAACACGCCACCGCTACACACTGAGGTATCAAGAACACACCACAGCTACACACTGAGGTATCAAGAACACACCACAGCTACACACTGAGGTATCAAGAACACACCACCGCTACACACTGAGGTATCAAGAACACACCACAGCTACACACTGAGGTATCAAGAACACACCACCGCTACACACTGAGGTATCAAGAACACACCACCGCTACACACTGAGGTATCAAGAACACACCACCGCTACACACTGAGGTATCAAGAACACACCACAGCTACACACTGAGGTATCAAGAACACACCACCGCTACACACTGAGGTATCAAGAACACACCACCGCTACACACTGAGGTATCTGCGAGTGAATCCAATGAGGTCGCCAATGCCTAGGCGGTAGAGCTTAGTTACATAGCTCAGCAGAACCTAGGACAAGAGCGTCTCGTCACAACTCCGAGTTCCAGACACTTAGAAACCATCAGGTCAACTCAGTCACTATCAATACACATACATGACTACATGATTGTGCTTCCATCTTTACCAGTCTGGCTATAAGAATTAAGAAGTGCTTAAAGGCTAAAGCATACACTGACATACCTGAAACAAAAGTTCCATGTTATGCTCAAGATCCCACAGTCGCCATGAGTTGTCGAAACTAATTAGCAACAAGACAAGTAGAAACGTTTGGTAAGATAAGTACTTCAGTAAGACCAGGGGAACAAGGAGAGGAGGTAAGAGAAGGTTACAGCGTCAACAAACTCAACCACCACACTGACAAGAACAGGCAATAGAGTTAATGCATTTAGGATAAATAGGTACAAGTACACAGCACACCCCTACTCAATCCCCACTGCTGGTAGAAGGTAGCTAGCATGCATTGCTGGCTGCCGGATGAAAGTGAGAGTGTAAGGTTTTGAGTTGCACCCCGTGACCACACCAAAATTTCCGCCGGGTGTGACTAGCTATCGGCCAGGCAATGCAATAAAAAAAGAAGATACAGAGAAGGTATAGTTAGCGTGCGCGCGCACGCACACACACGCACGCACACACACGCGCGTACACAAGCATGCCTGACTGACCATGTTGAGGCGATGAAGCGACCGGACGGGTGATATTCAACACGAGCTACACGCTGATCATGATCGCCGATGCTTTCTATGGGAGTATCACTGGATACACACACACACACACACACACACACACACACACACACACACACACACACACACACACACACACACACACACACACACATACACACACACACACACACACACACACACACACACACACACGTTTGAGAGAAGCATGTAGAGAAAGTAGACCTGGCACACGTCTTGAACATGGCACACACAGATAAAGAGACAAACAAACCACACACAGAAAACATATTCTCTAACATGCACCATAGGAATAGCAATAGTTGCACACCTTTCCAGATTCCAAAGTCGTACCACACCATCTGCATCGCACGATGCCATGTTGGCGCAGGTCGGAGAAAGGGAGAGAGTAGCTTGCGGGTGAAATGCAATGCTCCCAACCCGTGTATTGTGCCCTGAAAGAGATGACACAAAACAAATATCAGGATGCGAACACCTGTGATGCAAGTCACAGCCACAATGTACACACAAGAGAACTACAAACAACATTGAACAATCCACTTATCCCTACCATATAGGCCAATGCAAAACAAACAGCAAAGCACGCACCAGAGGTACTAACAAATGCCAGGTGTAGCCGTCTCCAGAGGCTATTGAGGTCAGCTCGTAAACTATTTCTTTCCAGGAACCTTCAAAGAGGTTACATGGAAGTAAAATGGTAAAAATCCCCAAATTCCGGAAAAGCCGCACTCCGTTGCTTCTCATTGAAGTTCAAACTAACCCAAAGCAACACCTCCAAGACAGCCATTTTGACCAGCGAGGAGAATATTGTGACATGATATTATCCACTCGGTCAACAACAAATGCAAGGCCTACAACAAATCACATAATTATGTTGTTGGCTTGACAGCATGAATCACATGCACATGCACTGTTACCAACGCTCACCTCGAAGCACTCTAATCTCCTCACACTGTGGTACTGACCATAACTTGCACAGTCCACTCCTAAACACAGAGCACAATGGTGGTAGGTCAGGTATAGAAATAGCACAGCAACAAAGTTGCTATTTCATTACCTACTCAGTCAACCTTCAAAGGCGCGTTCCAAAAGCTTTCGCTATTGTACAGTAGATCAGATTTCTCTTTACTGCATTCCTGTGTATCCACTGATGCGAATGAGTCAAAACCATGTATATGTATGCATATGCAGGGCAGTGCAAATGCCGCGAGTCACACAGGAACATACAAGTAGCAGCACACACACACACACATACGTGCCCCCCCCCCCCCCCACACCCACCCACACCTATGTATGCACACGTGCACACCTACATACCTAGTAGTAGTACACATGTGCATGCACACACCCACACACGCACGCACACACACACACATATGCACACCTACACCCACACCAACAGACACGCACACTACAGATAATAATACTCACCATGAACATGTGGCTAGCATCTTGGAGTCGGGAGAGAAGCGGCAGAAGGACAGCGGCCGATCGTCACCGATCTGACTTGCTGTGCTAACTAGTGACTAACAAACACCACAGCACAGCACAAGCAAAGAAGAGCACAACAAAATGAAAATACCGTAGTGTCTCATATAGAAGCCTGTCTCATAGTAGAAGCCTGTTTTGAACACAAGCCTAATTCAAGACACACTGTCGGCACATAAGCCTGTTTCAGTGTTGACACGCATAGAAATGCCCGATTTGAATAGAAGCCTGGTGTGAATAGAAGCCTAGCTCCTGAAATCGGTTTCAACAGGAATAAGCCCGGCTTTAATACGCGACATTACGGTAACTATGTGTAAGATTCACTATTGTTGACACTGATCAAGCACAGACCAAACATTAATGATTGAAACCCACATGTTTCAGAAGACCTACCCGAAGCGTCTTGTGCAGCTCTTGTGTCTTGGCGTATTTCTCGGGATCGGGCCGCGCTTGCTGGATTCGAGAGTGCTTCAGGCGCTGATTAGCTCTGCAACAACACATACCATTGAAACAAACCACATGTACCAAGAGCTCAAGAATGCTGAAACCTACGCACTACAAGCACAACCATTGCCAGTAGTACTATAGAGATTGAAAATCAGGTCAGTACACCAAGAAATGAAGAGACCAACTCACCTGGGTAGAGAATAATTTGCGATGAATCGACGGGCTGCCTGAAGCTCAGCAGGCCCCTCATGATACCAGACTTCAGTCTGTTGCTGTACACAAAGATAACAACATGTACCATACTTAGAGTACACTTACAATCTACAACCTACAACCTACACAATAATCTACAGCATCCGCACAAAGGCTGCACAGTGCACAAGACCAAGAATGGAAATGATGCAGGCCACAAACCATGAACTTTTTCGTCCTTTGTGGACACGAAGAGAGAGAGAGAGAGAGAGAGAGAGAGAGAGAGAGAGAGAGAGAGAGAGAGAGAGAGAGAGAGAGAGAGAGAGAGAGAGAGAGAGAGAGAGAGAGAGAGAGAGAGAGAGAGAGAGAGAGAGAGAGAGAGAGAGAGAGAGAGAGAGAGAGAGAGAGAGAATCTGCTCCAGGTGTGGATGGGTAAACAAAGAGGTCCTACCCGCCAAGAATGCAATTTATAGGCCAACTGGCGAGATTCATGTTCAGTACTTGCTTCCACACAGGAAAACGGTCAAACACCTCCTTGCGCAAGGGTGTCATTTTTTTAGAGTGTGATCATCTCACCAATGGAGTGAACAACAACTGGTATGTGTCATTTGCACAGCCAAGAACTTCGCGCACATGACTTGAATACACCATTTACAGGCACAGCTGTGCTTGGTAAAATCCAACTCATGTGAATATTGGGCATCCCAAACTATCAAGGCACTTAATCGAATGGTCTTGGTCCGAGAAAGCTGAGACGCTCCCTTCCTACTTGAATCCCAATCGAACTCGCGCACTTCCACTCGAGTGACAGGATTGCACCCAAAAAAGGTCAAACAGGCTAGTAAGTTGTACCCTGCAGGCACGGTGACCAGGTGACTGGTGTACGCAGGAGCACGTGACCGCTTGTTCAACCATGTTCGATTGGGAATAAAGGAGGAACACTGCATCGCAGCCTTTTCGGACCAAAACCAGTCGACTCAGCATCCAAAAGACTACAACATATGGGCCAATCTCGGTCATCCGTGCTTTTATAAGAACGAAATGGCGCTTTTAGTGACATTTTGCATATAAATCTCCATCTCGTAGGGCGCAGTCACCCAGTTTCGGTGGAAGTGCGCGAGTTCGATTGGGATTAAAGTAGGAAGGGAGCGTCTCAGCTTCCTCGGTCCACGACCATTCGACTCAGCACCCCGAAGACTACAACTGGTGAAATTTTGATTTTTGCCTTAACTTCCCCTTTAACGCCCTTGCAGATGCGGCTGGACGTACACATGTGCAAAATGCAATCCAGTGATGGGATGGGAATGGGAGCTGGCCCACCCAGAGCACCAGTTTTGGACTTTAGGTCGGCGTGTAACTGTACATAAATATCAAGGAAGCATAGCACCAGGACTTGGCACTTTGGGAGAAGGGTAGACTTTCATTTTAGCCCCTGAACTGCAGGAGACTGCCAAGAAAACAGTAAATTAACTCTACCAAATACATGTAGTACGCCTTTCAAGCTTGCCAACTGCAATAGTACTTCTCACACCTGGTGCTAACTAACGCAAATGTCCACGAGGCAACAATAACAGGAGTTCAGATGGGACAGCATGTAGTTTTGCAGCTCACACTTTCTCATTCCCCAGCTGCCCAACTGGCTTGCAATACGCACCAGTTATCAAGGGACTTACTTCCACCTTGGCTTTCGTTTCATCCTCTGCCTGTCGTTCTGCTGCTGAGTTGAACGTCTCACCTGCATCATCCAACAAAACACACCCAGCACAAGCAGGAATAAAACTCTGGGTAAAAAGATAGAACTCCAGGACAATCATAAACAAGGACAGGAAAAGGACAAGGATATCCACCTCAAATGCAATATTCTACCCTTGGACTTGGTAACGTTACCCCAGGAGCTGCATATGTGCCATGATGCTTGAGGGTGGTGGCATTCCTACGGATGCAGAAACCCCAATCTGACTGGGTCTCACGTGAACCGCGAATTCTTTTTAAATGTTACCCCTCCTCATTGCATCCCCAGCAGTGCAAAAGAAATCGAAAATGAGGCATCAAGCCGTGTCAGGCCTACTGCAATGCATACCTCGCTCTGCAAGCAGTTCCCTTAGACGATCACGCCGATGAGCAGGACCTTCACCGAATAGGCCTAGATAAAGAAGAAACCAAACAAAGACCAGCTCAGTGCATGTATAACAAACAAGGATATCTCAAGGAGCATGCAATGCACAGAAGCTCTCAGCTATAGTACTAGTACACTGGCATACGAAAATATCTTTGTTGCAAGCTGAGCAAACATGGTCCTTCAAAGCTTTCATATCCATTGGATAAACACGTAAACCACGCCACTCCTTCCCGCTTAGTCAAAAGGAATAAAGTGAGACACTATAAAGTAGTCTGACAGAGGCAAATACAAATCACTTACAGATCGGTTCGCCCATGGATCGTAACCGAGCTTTGACTTCAGCATCATCTGTTGGTACCGTCACAAGGCGAGCCTTTACATAAAACAAGAGAGAGAGAGAGAGAGAGAGAGAGAGAGAGAGAGAGAGAGAGAGAGAGAGAGAGAGAGAGAGAGAGAGAGACAGAGAGAGAGAGAGACAGACAGACAGACAGAGAGAGACAGAGACAGAGACAGAGACAGAGAGAGAGAGAGAGAGAGAGAGAGAGAGAGAGAGAGAGAGAGAGAGAGAGAGAGAGAGAGAGAGAGAGAGAGAGAGAGAGAGAGAGAGAGAGAGAGAGAGAGAGAGAGAGAGAGAGAGAGAGAGAGAGAGAGAGAGAGAGAGAGAGAGCGAGAGAGCGAGAGAGAGAGAGAGAGAGAGAGAGAGAGAGAGAGAGAGAGAGCGAGAGAGAGAGAGAGGTTGGGTGAAGTGGTGCCTCAGCTCAAACTAAAACCAATCGGGCATGGCTGCAGTCCATCATCAGACATAAAGGAAAACTCCATGCTACAGAAATGTTTGACAATTACGCATCGGCTTTGCACAATATGAAGCAAGCAAAGGGGAATTTCAGGGGAGACTGGCACATGTCACGCACATGATATTATGCATAATGCAAACAGTATGCCTGTAGTATACCTTGCGTCGGCGCTCAAATTCCGCCACCATAGCATCCCGCCGATCCGCTGCAAAGTCTTGGCTTATATTTACTGTGTCGCCTGGAATGAAACAATACAAATTCGAAAAGATCTGCAACATAGTAACAGGAAGTGCATTCTACAGCCAAACCAATTAGCCGGTAGTGTAGATAAGTGGGCCAGATGTGTAGTGACCAGGCTGATCAGCTTCGGCCGGATCACTGCGCAGTTACTCTGGTGAAGTAAAATAAAGGTAACATAACATACTCAATCAGTTTCTGAGACCTATGAAGGGCTAAAGAGTGCAAACACGCCATCAATGGCATGTCCACTACTGTAATGGGTGGTCATAGCTAGAGACGGGCCGAAGACTCTCCCTCCTCCTCTCCCAAGTATAGGGGATGACGCCCAGCATTATGTAACCACACGAACAATGCCAATGGTGCTGATAACGACCTGCTTGACGACCATGCTGGGGGGGGGGGGGGGGGGGGGATGGGTAGGATGTCATCGGCTGTAACTGCACAAGGAGTTTTACATGGCAGGCTGGCAGCAATGGACATATGACCAGGATTGCAACGTGGGGACAATGCCTGGGCACAGGGCAGAAGTAAAGTTTTGGAATTCAAGACAGGAATGCCATTCCAAAGCTATTCCGTCAATTTCTAACGACAAGCAACCCGCACTCCCGCTGCACCCTAAGAAATAGTTCTGTTTGGGCTAAAGAGACTGGATACATGGAAAGTGAAATGTTCAGTATTGTGTAAACTGATGTCTGATGCGAAGCCTATATAGACTTCGACAAAAGTGGGACTGTATCGCTCTGACACAACAAATCTCCACACAGTACCTGTTATAAATTAGTACAATGCTGATTTATTTGTTCGGTTAAAACATGACAATAGGATGTGTTTTTTGGGGTTTTTTAAGCCTACCGCTGACTACCATTGACTTTGCATACTCGTGTGAGTTGGCTTTGTGCAGTGCTCAAAGGCTTTCAAAGCGTTCACTGACCTGAGCTGATGTTTATGTTCCCCTTCGATATTCCAGCAGCGATCTCTGTGTCGTTCACGTCAACGTGGACTGGCCGCTTCGCCGGCGGTGGGCCAGCTGCGTTCGACATTGTTCCTCTCCCTTCCACTTGATACAATGTTGCAATACACTTCAAAATACTGGTAAACTGTTTTGTAATAATTTGGTACAGTATTCATGTGGAATAACTTACTTTAAATTCTTTCGATGATCATAAAAATCTTCGAAAAACGATCGTTCCAGCTGGCCAGATGACGCCAAAAGAGACGCCATTTTGTTTTTGCATAACAACACCACGTAACTAGGCATGTCCGCTCGCGGTGCAGTTCGGAACAAAGATTCTTGGGCGAAACTTGTTGTCCTCTTTTTAGTAAAAACTAGCTTTTGGTGAGGTTCAACCAGAGCTATAGCCAAAATGCAGATCTTCGTGAAGACCCTAACGGGTAAGACCATCACCCTTGAGGTTGAGCCTAGTGATACCATCGACAATGTCAAAACTAAGATCCAGGACAAGGAGGGTATCCCTCCGGATCAGCAGCGTCTAATTTTCGCTGGAAAGCAGCTCGAAGATGGACGTACTCTGTCTGACTACAACATCCAGAAGGAGTCCACGCTCCATTTGGTGCTCCGTCTGCGTGGTGGTGTTATCGAGCCCACCATGAGAATCTTGGCCCAGAAGTACAACTGCGACAAGATGATCTGCCGCAAGTGCTACGCTCGTCTTCACCCCCGTGCCACCAACTGCCGTAAGAAGAAGTGTGGACACACCAACAACTTGCGCCCCAAGAAGAAGCTGAAGTAGACGCTCAGTGGATGGTGGATGCTGTTTTTATCTTTCTCTTGGATATCGTGGATGTTCAATAAAATTCACGTTGGGAAAAATTCTGTCATTCAGTGAGTTTGAACGCTGTGTGTATGCCTGCGTGCGTATGTTCCTCACTGCATGTATTGTAACCTCACGGCAATGCCCAGCATGAAGCACGGGTCTAAAAACATCGTAACGGTTGTTATAGGTCCATCAACAGAGTCAGAGGGATGTGTAACTAGAGACTAATCACAGTACATGTATGAAGTCTGTATAATCATTACAATAGCCGTCATTTCACTGTCTTATGATGCGTAGTGTACATGTAGTTACTGTCCCCACGGGAAATCGCGGAAAACTTTTTGAAAGTTATGCAGATCTTGCGGTGCATATTGGGCTGAATTTGCGGTAGAATATGACGGAACTTGCGGTAAAATGTGTGGGTTTATAGATCTTCAGTCATGTGTCTGATACGGTGCTCTTGTATCCAATCTCCATCACATGCACCATACCGGAATGGTACTACATGTATGCGCATGACATGCCGAGTGCTCGCAAGGCTGCATTGCATGCCGCACATGCCAGATCAGCGTCAGTCGATCGTACGAGCAGCTCTTACACGTACACTGAAAAACACCATGAATCCTCGAAATCTGACATTTTTTTCCTCACAATTCATGGCAATTCTGCAAAATCGTCACGTTTTGCGGGAAACACCGAAATTTGCGCATTTTGTCGCGGCCGTGAGATCGCGATTTCCTGTGGGGACAGATGTAGTCTGATCAACATGCAGTGGCCTATGAACAATTTAAAAAATCGTCGTCCCTGAAACGAACATTGTTCATGTTCGTACTCCAGCCCCCTCTCTCTCCGGCCCTACCCACCAAAATGAACGCAGCTTGCCAGGACGATAAAAATCGCATGCAAGTACATGTACTGTTTAGTGAGAAAATTTCGCTAGAGATTATATTTAAATAATCGACGCAGAGACAACAATTTTATAATAACCATAAAGAGAACAAATTCTGCTGTCATCGTCACACTACAACAAAGTCATGATTGTGACAAGAAAATCGATTTTGGTAAACCTTCATGACTTTGTTGTAGTATAGCGATGACAGCAGAATTTGTTCTCTTTATAGCTATTATAAGAGATTATATTTCGCTATTTTTGCAACCATCACACATTCGCTATTATAGATCGCCGCAAACTGCTCTGATTGTAGACAGTAAAAGATCCAAATGAAGAGATGAAATCGCCAACGTTTCCCATCGTGAACCGGCCCAATTCATAAAAACGCAAACTTTGCGTGCCGCGAAAGTTTATCGCTTTACAGTACAGTCGACCTACCCTTATAATGATATTACCCTTGTAACGATATTTTTCTGCCAAACCAAATCACTCCATTGACTTGTGTATACAATGTCTTACCTCTATAACAATATTACCCCTATAACGATATAAAATGGGCTAACCAATTGACATTTTCCATTTTATAACAATATCTAGCAGGGAATATCTCGAGCCCACTATCCAGGCAGGGCAAGCTTTGCAAGCTTCACTTGATAAATCGCTGGAATATGACGAAATGCAATGGGGGCACCATTGGGCACCTTGCTGTGTACAAAATGTGCATGTACGTCAGTTTTTGATGCTATGAAGAGTGTAAAAAATGAACAAAATCCATGCATTATGACGTATGTGTATGAAATGAACCAGTTATCCCTATAACAATATTTCTTGGTCTGACGGAAATATCGTTATAAGGGTAGGTCGACTGTATATGACTTTCTGTACAGTGTCAGCTGACTTGTGATTTAGGCTAACTCCTCCAGCAACAATCCCTTTGGAGCTGATGTATCTTGTTGAGAAGTTTAGCCCTACTTCAATTTCAGATCTTTAGTAACGTGGCATTTCGTGCCAAGAATGACCGTGTTTGAACAGCTGCACTTCTTCTAAATTTATTTGTGGAAAGCAAAGCACGTGAGGTGAAGTGAATCAAGCCTGATGGCCAAAAAGACCTTGCAAATAGTTCTGGGGAAATCTGCATGTCTGTGGTATTGGAATGCAATCTGTCAGAATGGACTCTCTGCACCAGTCCACTTGGAAAGGTGCGATTGCATGGCTGCCAAAATAGCAGCATCCGTGGAATACAGCAGAGTTACGCGTCCAAGAACGTTGTTTCCAAGGGGTTTGCCTGGGGCGTTCTTATTTTCATTATTCTGGCTACGTTCTTTATAAATATTTCGTTCTGGGTCATGTATCCCAGAAGTTGCCGGAAAACCAACAACACCGTTCTTTGCTTTAGACTGGCGTTCTTACTAACTTCTTAGTATTTCAGGCTGGACGTTCTTCGGCGCGCTACTCTTCTGTACACGGAATTCTCACTCTTTGCCCACGGTGATGAGTGGAGATACTACTGTATACACAGAAAGTGGTTTTGCTATCTGTTTTGCACATTAGTGTAGCTATCGTACTCCGTGGGCAAAGAGTGAGAATTCGGTGAAGTTCTGACTTTGGCATCACAATCAGGGAGTCGAAAAATACATATTTTACGACTCCCTGACCATAGTGTACATGCCATGTATGTTTCTCTGGATTGTCGTTCAAGGTGCAAGAGTACCAAACTCCATGATCGTATTGCCAGATGAAACATCATGATCTGGTCGTTGTTTGTGGGGTGACTGCTTGCTCCTTTCAGGGTGAGCCACTCATAGCACAATTCAAGCCGAACACATTAAATGTTGTAATCGCGACCTTATCCTATGTCTGTGTGTGTGTGTATGGTGCTTGACTTGAAAATAACTACCATGCGCACCAGCTTGAGCGAGGTGCTGGCCTCAATCTCTTCCCTGGTCTGTAATGAGGCTGCCTGCTGGCAGCATGCCTATTTTTACTTGATGTTGGTTCCACTCATTGTTTGGTGGAGCGAAGATTGGAAGTCATGGACCATGAGGTATTCCCAGGTTCTACAATCTACATGAATAATCCAAAGATCTCCTAATCATATCAACCATCCTAATGAACATATGCACACTTGTAATCACCACAATGGGACTAGCGCATGCTCTAGTTTCAACTGGTGTCCCCTTGGAAAAACGCGATTCCACGGCCGCGGCAATTTCTGCAGAAATGACTATCATCCGCGGAAATCGCAGAATTCACACTTTCCCCCGCGAAATCTGAGTTTTTGCCGGTGATTTATAGTAAAACTACTTCACAGAAAGCTGCAGAAAAACTACTTTGTGATCTATTTGAGCACATTGCTCTTGCCAGTGTAGGTAAGTGCAAGTCACTCGAGGACTGTTCAGTTTGTGCTGGGGGAAGATAGTGCGAAAAGTATTACTGCATGCAACTAGGTTGGCATGTCTTCGACGAAGATAGTGAAAAACTCACAGAAAATACCGCAGAGCTACATGTATGAATGAAACAAATGATGCCGACATAATACCATTGTAGCACAGTTGAAACGCATGCATTATTATAATTATTGGTTTGTTCTCTCAATCACTATTCGATGTAAATTTACTGATGACCTTCGGAGAAAAACGTTTATGAATTCTTCTTCGCCCATTCTATCATTTGCTCATCATGGTACTATGTCGGCATCATTTGTTTTATTCATAGTTTTGTTGAAACTTCTTTCTCCAAAACGGTTTTTTTTTAAAATACCGCAGATTTGTCATTACACTGCAGAAAATGCCGCTGAATAGCCCCCTTTCTCCCCGCGGAATTAAGAATTTTTGTCTGCGTTTTGCCAAAGGGACATATTTCACTGCTAGAATACAGTACAACGCCAAGTGCGTGCATGTAGGAAAGTGTTTGAGCTGACAAGCTCTTGCCTGTCACTCTGCACACACTGAATGTGGGTTTCATGTTGATTTGAACAATGCTTCGGTGTCCAGTAACTGAGTTTCAAAAATCAATCCAGGATTTCAAAGATGCGACTTCACCATGAAAGCCGATAGCCAGATCAAATAGAGTGAGACCACAGTGCAGCATAACTTGTTATGGTCGATCGCACCAAGATTCACAATTCTCTCCTCCTATCCAATGTCACGTACATTGCAATCAATGTTACTACATAGCGGTGCCCAGAGCTCAGGAAAACTGGGTGTTGAGCACGGTATGCAGTTGCTGCACTATCTCACTGTAGGAGGTGTTGTAGGCATGATTCACGGTCTCGTACGGATCCGCGTTGTAATCATACAGCTCTCTGATGGGTACGAAGTCGGACCAGCTGGCCTTGAACATGGTTGTATTGTACGGCACATACTCTGTCAGTCTGTATCCATTCCGAGTACGCACCGTGTATCCAACGTGGAATGACTTTGGCTTTGGAGCACTAGCATCGCTGTCCAGTCCAGGTTGAATAGCACCCGGGTATAGCCACTGACTGAAAGCATACTGCTTTGCATCCGCCAAATCAGCTTGGTCAGTACTTCCAGTGAATTCCGACGCATAGCTTTTACCCTGCAGACAGTTGACTGTCGGGGGCTCGTCTTGTTCACAGTAATCCAGGGGTGGCAGTCCTGTGAGCTCTAGCAAAGTTGGATACAGGTCGAGCATTTCCACAAGGCGCTCACTTTTGCCTTTGTTCGTCTTGCCCGGTACACGCCACATCAGTGTGTTGTGTGTGGCTGACTCAAAGTTGGTACACTTGCCCCAGGAGTTTGTGTCACCAAGATGCCAGCCATGATCCGACCACAGCACAACGATGGTGTTGTTAGCATAGTCGTTACTCGCCAAAGCGTCCATGACACGTCCAACTTGCGCGTCCACATAAGATGTTGCTGCAAAATATGCCTGGCGGTGCTTTCTCTTATCATCGTCAGAGATAGGATGATTCTGTGAAAAGCCATCAGCCGGAAATTGCTTATGTGCATCAATGTATGATTGCATTTCATCACTGTTATACCAAGCACCTTTTGTGAATCTTTCTGGAACGTTCGGGTTGGGCGGAAGGCTGACTTGGTTTACATCATACATGTCAAAGTACTTCTTCGGTGCAATGTGTGGAAGATGAGGTTTGTGAAAGCCCACAGCCATAAAGAAAGGTTTGTCTCCCATGCCAATGCCTTGCTTGGAGAAGTTGGCCAGTCGTCCCTGTGCATGGATGGCAAGCTGGCCGTCAGTCAGGTGATCGTCATCAAGCGGTGAAACCATGACTGAGTCTCCCATCGTGTTGTTCCAGTACTTTGTTCTAGGGCAGGGTACACTGCCCCACTGTACACATTCCGGCTCGGGGAAATACGGCAATGTCCATGCTGTTTTATCATCTCCCAGAGAGTGTGGATCAGCAGCACCACAGGCGTCCGGATGGAACAGCTTACCACTGCCAGCCGTTGTGTACCCATTGTTTTTGAAGTAGTGTGGCAACGTCAGGAACTGGCCCCGGTTGCTCCAACACCACGAGAAGGGTGACATGGAATGGGTCGTGTCAGGCCGACGGCCAGTCAGAATGCTAGAGCGACTGGGTCCACATACAGCAACCTGCACATAAGAATGCTGCATTACCGTGCCTGTCTCCACGAATTTATCCATGTTTGGAGTCTTCACCTCGGGAACTGAGAAAGCCTGGCCAAACTCAGGACGGAGATCGTCAATGGCAATCATCAGCACGTTAGGTTTGCTGCCCTGCCGTGTGGCTATTGCAGCCGGAGGGGATGCCACAACCAATAAAACTGCAGCCACAGGACATAGCCAGTACAAAAAGGAGGAGATCTTTGGCGAGGTTTCCATTTCGGACTTCTGTGGCTCACCAAGATTACGTGTCTGTATCCTGGTATCTGACCGACACGACGGAATCAGATTAGAATTTAGGGTAGCAACGACCGCGTAACTCCTAGATCCTCGCTAGCGCGCTACCAACAGTTAAAAAATAACTACAATCATGTATTTCCGACAACTACTAACTAAGTAACTTACTACACAGTCTGTACAGTACAACTAGCAGTCGCGCGTAGATCTACGAATGGTCCGAATGGAATTTGTTGTAGCTGTTGCAAGTAGTTGCAGTCTGCACTTGTCTTTATTAGTACTTTACTAGTACAGTAGTAGTAGTTCAATCTTTGGCGGCTAGTACTACTACTACTAATACAGTAATACTAGTTGCAGTTACAGAATTCAACGCCGGTCTTCGCCATCCTTGAATCACGCATCGTGTGATCTTTGCGGCAGTCTTCCCGCTGTCGGATGGAGACTGTGACCCGATGACAGACTGAAGTGTAGTGGGAGAGATGACTTGAAGGCATGGTCACTCGTCAGCGACTCATTGAGGCTGTCTTGAGCCTGGAACTGTGGAAGGAAGGGAATGAGTGTGGACTGTGGACACGTCTCGGAAGCGGCACAGATACCCAAGCTCTGGACCTGGCCAAGGTCAAAGCTTGAACTCAAAATGACTGTGTACTAGTATTTACCGACGCCTGTGTTGAACATCATTCATGGAGCCTGATGTTACGTTGGTAGCGATTGGAAGGAAACGGCGTCGCTCTGAATCAGTCGCTGTGAGGATCAGGAATAAGCAAGAAGGAGTGCAGTGACGAACGGACACCACAAAGCTTTTCCGCTGTTGTCTGTCGTCACCATGGTCATTAGAAAAGAACACTAACTAATACTTACATGTACGTGTATAACACAGCTAGGCAGTCGGCTGTTCAAGTGTTGTTTGAGGTACATGTATGGCCGATAAACTGACTTGCTGATGATTGCCTGGATTGACGCTCTCCTTCCTCAGTTTGACTGTCATCCTGGTAAAACTCACTCCATGGCACCCTTCTCGTGGTGTTGGAGAAACCAGTTACCAGGTTACCGTGACCAGCTCCTGGCACCAAAGTTGCCACATTGACAGTATTGCCACCACTGGATTACTGACAATGAGCTACCTGAAGTCAACACTGTATTCAGGGTAATAGCTATGACATTGTGTTGGAATTCACTGGAAATACTGACCAATCTGCTTTGGCTGATGCAAAGCGGTATGCTTTCAGTCAGCAAGTTATCCTGGTGCTATTCAACCCGGACTAGACAGTGATGCTAGTGCTCCTAAGCCAAAGTCATTCCATGTTGGATACACTGTGCGTACTCAGAGTGGATACACTGTCGGACTGACAGAGTATCACGGTGCCGTACAATGAAACCACGTTCAAGGCCAACATCACGGTGCGTGGCTTGGTAAACTGGAACTTCACCGTAAAGACTGAGGTTACAGTTTTACGCCTATGGTCATGGGTACAAAGCATTCGGCAGAGAACTGCTTGATTATGACCCGGATCCGGATGAGACTGTGAATCATGCCTACAACGCCTCCTTCGTATAGTGAATGCGACAGTGCAGCAACTACATGTGTCATAAGGCCCTCAACAGTTGCTTGAAGCAGAAGGCCAATACGTAATAATAATTATTATCTCAAGAATTCAGCAGCACCATCATACAGAGTTGGGATTTGTTGATATCGACTCAGGCACCTCGATTTCACCTGACCAGGAACAGATCTCGAATATCGGCAGGGCCTTCACGTTTTATCAAACTGAGGGAATGAGAATTGAGATTCGGAAACGACGCTTCGTGGGTACTTGTAGCGTGGACACACACACCACCTGTCAAGACAAACGTCATGGCCGCAGTCAGGCTAGAAAATCTAATAAGACCTTGGTAATATTAATCCATGCTGACGCCATAACAGTGTTGTTACTTGTTAGTATAAAGGCCGAAGGGTTCCGTCCTAGATCCTTGTGCAGTTAGTTGTGTTGACCATGTTGACTGTTGCGAGTGTTGGAGGGAAGTCACGGTGTCGCATTTCCCAACTTGTGACCAGACTACAGTTTAGTACTACCTGTACCTATACCTGTACTGGCTGTACCTGTACCTGTACTGGCTGTAGTTACTAATGACAGTAATGTACATAGGAGTCGTACCAAACATACTGTGGCCTGGTCCTGCCCTGGCCTGGGCCTTGCCCTTGGCCTGCCTAGGTTGGCTTGGGAAGTAATTAGTTGGGTTATTACTACATGTAGTACCGGAAATTAAAAATAATTTTGTGTTTTGTGTGTAGGCTACATAGTCACAGTGAGTAGATCTACAGTACAGCCTGCTAGACTACTACGTAGATCTACGTCAACACACATACCGGTAATGTAATAGTAATAGTAGTAGGCCGTGCACAGCTAGCTATCAGTATCACTATCAATCTGTCCCCGGGGAAAATTGCGGAAAAAATCGCAAAAAAACGCGGGGAAAAACGCGGCATAATTATGGCATAATTTGCGGTGAATTTGCGGTAAATATGCGGTAAATATGCGGTGAATAATATTGATGTGCGGCAATTTTCAGTGAGTATGTAGTGAAATCAATCAGTTACAAGTCTATGGTGTAAGCACTCGTCATATTTGAGTAAAAACTTAGTAAAAAGCCGCCAAGATGAGACGTTGCTGACCGAACAGTGCACTGTGTGTACGTGTAGTGCAACAAAAAAGTTCAAAAAACGCGGGAAAATCGAGGAAAACGCGGTCTTTTAAAAAATCGCAAAAAAACGCGGAAAAAACTCGGCCGCGGAATCGCAATTTTCCCCGGGGACAGATCAATCAACCATGCATGATGGGTGTGACTGTGCATGAGCAAAAAAAGGAGAACGATGCTGAAGCCTGAAGCAGAATCTGGGATAAGCTAGAAGATTGAGATTTTTTTGAATGTTTCAAAAAGTCTGAGGAGTCACAAGGACTATAACATCAGTGCTACATTGTTGGCTTTGGATGATCAGAGAATCAACGTATACCCTGCCGCGCTGGTCGTTATTATTGGTGGAACACTTCAGGTATCGGGCAGCAACAGGGGCAAACGTAGCGAAGTCCGAGAGTGGGACACATGCAGAATAGAAGCTCTGGCTGGAAGGTAAAGAAGGCCCTTTCTTGTAGCACACCTCTGAGGGAAAGTGACATGCTCTCCCTGGAATAATACATTAAACGGATTACTGTTACGTATTTGCACTAGAAGTTACGACCAAGATAAAAGGGAGCGGTGCAGTTGTTTGCTGCATAGCGACCAAATAATTACAGTCGACCGCGTGCTGTTTCCTACGTGTCACACAGTCATGTAACTTAGTATGATGTATTCGGCCGTGATTTTCTCTTCATCGCAGTGTTCATGGTACAATCATCAGGCACTGAAACAACAGCTAGCCGAATGACATGAACTGGCGTTGTGCCCTCCTGTAATCGTGCTAATGACACAAGACAGTCATGTTTCATTCATTTCGTATGGTGAGAAAGTGATCCCGTCCAAGTACTCCTTTATTTGCTCGCAGTCAACACTATTCATGGTCGTCTGTGCCTCCACAGATTCCCTACAACTTACAAGCAACACTTTGCTAAAACAGAACCTTTGGGGGGGGGGGGGGAAGCCCCCCCCCCCCCCCCCCCTCCTCTTTCTTGCTGTTGATCCACCGTGTGTTTGTCAACTGATGTGTGTGTGGTGCATGCATGTGTATGTGTGTGCGTCTCTCTCTCTCTCTCTCTCTCTCTCTCTCTCTCTCTCTCTCTCTCTCTCTCTCTCTCTCTCTCTCTCTCTCTCTCTCTCTCTCTTCTCTCTCTCTCTCTCTCTCTCTCTCTCTCTCTCTCTCTCTCTCTCTCTCTCTCTCTCTCTCTCTCTCTCTCTCTCTCTCTCTCTCTCTCTCTCTCTCTCTCTCTCTCTCTCTCTCTCTCTCTCTCTCTCTCTCTCTCTCTCTCTCTCTCTCTCTCTCTCTCTCTCTCTCTTTGTAGATTGCCTGAGCTGAGGTATGCAACGCTATTGACGGACCAACCGCACAGAAATCATCAGTAGCACTGCGTCAACGGCATGGGAAAGTCCCAGGGGAGGTCAAGTAGCAGCAATGGGAAGGCACTAAAAGTCCTGGCTCAAGACCAATCCTCACTTCCACCACGTAGGATTCAATGGTACTGCTGTCTGGTGGTGATATCCGTACAAATTGGTCTGCTTTCTGTTGTTATCAAGCGGAGATGGACGCGAGAGTCGACTCCGATAATAAATGGTGCATTGAGATACACGACGGGGCCGCCTTGTGGCTTCAGGCTATCGTCCAATCGCGTCCCAGTGTTGACAATTCATCCCACGGATGCGTTTGCTGCATCCACGATCTCCAAAGCTGAACCTGTTGTCCTGCAAGGGTCCAGCGTTACAAAGTGGAGAGCACAACAATGGTCATTAGATTACATAGCCAGGAAAGCGAAAGGACCCGTTCACAACATCTACGAGAATAACAACCGTTGGTTTGGGCCATACTTTGATGGGAGAAAGCCACTGCTTCCCTATGCTCGCCATCCTAATCCCTACCGGACCAACTTGACTCTGCCGGTGCGGACATTGATGTCTCGACTGGGCAACACACAGCAGAAAACATCCACGGCAGCGTCTTGGGTGTACTTTAGCGGTCCACTGGAGGAACTGGGAGCTTGGACGGCTGAAGAAGTAGAACCGTTGGATGAGTTGCTGTCACCCAATCCGGCCGTGTCTTCCGTCAACGTCTGGATGGGTCCGCCGAACGTGATAGCGCACTGCCACTACGACGGCTACCACAACTTCTATGCACAGCTCAGCGGGCGCAAGCGCTTTTGGCTGGCGCGTCCACGCGCCTGGCCACAGCTGCTTACATCACCATTCTTGCATCCAATGCATGCACAGTGCCAGGTGAATCTCAGCACACCACTGACACCTACATGTGCCGGCGGCGGCAGTGCTAGCAAGGAAGGTGCCGGTGCGGATGCCGATATCGGTGACGACGACGACGACGTGGAGATTCTCGAGGTGGTGCTGGATCCTGGCGA